GTTAAATTATATATCCAACCCTTATATTCCCAGCACTTTTTTTTTTTAGAGAGAGAAGATCTTGTTATGTTACTCAAATTAGCCTCAAATCTGTGACCCTTCTGCCTCAGCCTTCTGAGTGCTGGAATTACTGATGTGCACCACCACTACCACTGCACCTGGCTGCAATCCTCAGCACTTGAAGGCTCTTTAGAACTTCTGCTGGGGAGAGAAATGCAGAGTTTTCAGATTCCCCTGGTTTATTTCCTCCCTGCAAACATTCCAATCAATGATCTTGGTTCTGGGTAGGACCTGGGTCTCTGGAGGATTTCCAAGGGCCAAAGGGAAGTAAAGGTTAGGACTTCTGGGCTACCAAACACCAACAACATCTAGTCCCTGTAGTACCCTTGACCCAAAGATCCAAAGAACCAGGAAATGTAGGCTGACTAAAAGCAAAGTTTGTGGCAAGGAAACATTCACAAAGAAAAAGAAGCAAGAAGAAACAAGGGGCCACTTTCCAAAATAATCACAAGCTGGTTAAAAAAGCCCCACATAGAGGATCTGGTTGAGTTAGAGTAAGAAGGAAAATCATTCAAAGCCAAATCCACAAGGAAACACATTGATTTTCCTACAGAGAATACACTGAACATGTGTAGAATGCATCGTTTTGTTTGGGGGAGAGCAGAGAATACAAATGCAGGAGCATGGGTGCCACATTGCTTGTGCATAGGTCAGAGGTGTTGGCCTCAACTTCCACTTTGTTTCAAAACAGGATCTTTTTGTTTTTCACAGCTTCATATTCTAGGCTAGCTAGCCTGTGAGCTTCTCAGGATTCTCCTGGATCCATTTCCTGGTGCCCTGTAATGGGCTAGGATTACAGACACTCCTGCTACATGTCCAGATTTTATGTGAGTTCTGGGGATTTGAACCTATGTTCTCACACTTGCAAAGTAAGCACTTTTACCCACTGAGGCATTTCCTCAGCCCCAACAGAATATATCTAAGTACAGGATACTAACAATTAGAAACCATGGATAAGGCAGTACTTCTCTTTCTTGATTAAAAAGGTATAGAAAATGAGCAATGGAGAGAAAAACAAAACTAAAAAGAACAAGAGAAGGAAAAAGAAGTACTAAAAACAGAAAAAATATTTTCAAAATTCATTGTCAGAGTACTCGTGAAGCCCTGAATGAGGCCATAAGTTCCATCCCAAACACTGAGAAAAAATTTCAGAACATCTTTAAGTATAATCTTTTTACTATCACTCCAATATAAACTGGAAGCTATCCAACAGAACGAGGAACATTAAGTCAAGGTAGGGGGCTCACATGTGAACTTTTTCCAGCTATGAAAGAGTTTCTGGAAATCCCCATCCCCAGGTTAGGCCAATCCAGGTCGGCAAAGACAATCTTCAAATGCTCCTCAGGTAGAAAAGCTACATGCAATCCATGTACATTGGCAGACTTCCTATTTCTTTTTTTTTCTCTTTGTTTTTTTTTAAGATTTATTTATTTATTATGTATGCAACATTCTGCCTCCATGTAACCTTGCAAGCCAGAAGAGGGCACCAGATCTCATTATAGATGGCTTTGAACCACCATGTGGTTGCTGGGAATTGAACTCAGGACCTCTGGAAGAACAGTCAGTGCTCTTAACCTCTGAGCCATCTCTCCAGCCCAGACTTCCTATTTCTGAAACAAAGTTTTTCACTAATGTAGTGTTTGAGAGCTAGTCTTCAAAGCAAAGACCTTTAAACAAGCCTCAACAAACATTTAAAATTTTTTTTCTTTTGTTGTTTGTTTTTTGAGACAGGGGTTCTCTGTGTAGCTTTCCTTGGCTGTCCTAAACTAGCTCTGTAGACCAGGATGGCCTCGAACTCACAGAGATCCACCTGCATCTGCCTCCCAAGTGCTGGGATTTTAAAGTGTGTGCCACCACCATTAGGTTTTAAATTTCACTTTAAAAAAGTATTGCATTGAGAGGCTGGAGAGATGGCTCAATGGTTAAGAGCACTGGCTGCTCTCCCAGAGGACCCAGGTTCAATTCCCAACACCCACATGGCTGCTCACAACTGTCTGTAACTCCAATTCCAGAGGATCCGACACCCTCATAGACATGAACGCAAGCAAAACACCAATGCACATAAAAATAAACAAATAAATAATTCACTTAAAAATTCCATCTAAAAAATATTGCACTGAATAGGACATGGTGACACACACCTATAATCCCAGCACTCAGGAGGCAAGTCTCAAGTCAGCCAAATCTACATAGTAGCATGATCCTATCAGAAAACAATATATATAATATATTCTATAATTCCAGCACTTGGCTGAGGCAAGAGGAATGATGATATGGCTATAACAAGACATTAAGACCATCCTGGAGCTGGGCACAGTGGTGCATGTCATTAATTCCAGCATTCAGAAGGCAGAGGCAGCCAGCCTGGTCTACATAGTGAGTTGCAGGACAGCCAGGACACAGAAAGACCCTGTCTCTCAGCCGGGTGGTGGTGGCGCATGCTTTTAATCCCAGCACTCGGGAGGCAGAGGCAAGTGGATCTCTGTGAGTTCGAGGCCAGCCTGGTCTACAAAGTGAGTTCCAGGAAAGGTGCAAAGCTACACAGAGAAACCCTGTCTTGAAAAACCAAAAAAAAAAAAAAAAAAAAAAAAAGACCCTGTCTCAAAATAAATAAATAAAAGATCCTAGATCAGTTCCAGGCCAGTACTAGGTTCTTTGTTGGTTTGTCTGAGACAGGGTTTCTCTGTATAGCCCTGGCTGTCTTGGTACTGGATCTGTAAACCAAGCTGGCCTTGAACTCAAGATCCACCTGCTGCAGCCTCCCAGCTAGAAAGGCAGTAAGGGAGAAGGGAAGGAAAAGGGAGGAATGGAGTGAGGGAGCGGACCAGTAAACTTCACCATATGGCAGGCCCAATCCATGTGAGTTTGTCTCCTAGCACTGAAGGGACACCTAAATATCCTCCCTTTCCAGGTGAGTCATAAAGAGAGTCTATGTGGTGGTGGTGCACGCCTTTAAACCAGCACTTGGGAGGCAGAGGCAGGCAGAGTTTGAGGCCAGACTGGTTTACAAATGGAGTTCCCGCACAGGCAGGGCAACACAGAGAAAATATCTCTCTCTCTCTCTCTCTCTCTCTCTCTCACACACACACACACACACACACACACACACACACACACACACACAGACGTATTTGTTGTTTGCATTCTACATAAGTCCAAATGCTATGTACGTATATGTGTACTCCAGGATGTCTTCCCAAAAAGTTTTGCATACTTTCTATGAAAAAATAAGCTAAGCAGGCAGTCGTTCATTTAATTTTAACTTAGTAAGAATAATGTGATTGAAACTGTTGTATTTGAAATGTCTGCAAGAGAACCGGTTCGGCAAAAAAGTTATCAACTAAATAGTAGCTAAAGATGTACCCAATTATGGCTAAAAATGGGCCAAACTGATTAGGTTCCCACCGATAAGATTCAATTCCTACCGAGGAGTTCTTATCAATATAGTTTCCACTGACCACATAGTTCTACAAATGGGTCCCAATGCAGTTCCCACCAACAGGTCCACAGTGACATGGTTCCACTGACGATGAGTCCCTTACAATTATGCTCACGGGTCTCTGTGTATTCTGTTCCGAGTCAAGGGTCCATCAATAAAGGTCCCATCAAAGGGTCTACACCGGTACGAATTCCCACCCATGAGTCGTTCCTCAGTCTTTCCACCCTCCCTCGGGGACCCGATCCATTTGGCGCCCACCGAAGGATCCCAAGCAACACCACTCCCGCCTACCCCACACCCCACTGTCCCTTTCCGCCTTGGCTTTCACTGGTGATCCGACCCTGCCTCCGGCGAAGCCAAGATGGACGCCGGAAGCACAGCCGCCTCCGCGAGCCCTCTCGCCAGGCGCCCGCGCCCGCCCGCCCGCCTGACGCCGCCGCGCCTGACGCCGCCGCCGCCCTCGCGCGCCCGCCGCCCCTCCCCCGACCTCCCCTCCCCCCGCCGTAACGTCCTGACGCTCCGCAGGGACCCCTGACTGGACGGCGGCGCGTGAGCGGCGCGAGAAGCTTCGCCGCGGGGGTGCGCGGGCACGCCGAAGCCGCTTACCTGGGCCCACACCGGCCTGCTCTGGCGCCCGGCTGTGACGGGTGCGGCGGCGGGTGGTGGCGGTGGCGGCCGCAGGCTTCGCTCCTTGTTGGGGATTCGGCGGCGGCGGCGGCGGCGGCGGCGGCGCGGGCGCGCGCTTCCTAGTGACGCAGACACCAAGGCCGCGCACGCACGGGTCGGGCGGGCTTGGAGACTTATTTTTCGCCCGGCGCGGAAGTGAACAGTGTGGTGAGATAGTACCCGAAGGGCCCTGGCGCGCGTGCGTTTGTGCCTTGCCTCTGTGCTCCGTGGTTAGGTGTTCCGTGGCTCCAGTCCAGGTTGGTGTTTGGTTTGTAGTCCGCGTGTCGTCTCCACTAGGGAGCCGCGACCGACACGTCCGTAGAATTGGAGTGCGACGACTGAGTGTGGGCGTTCTTATCCATTTCGGGCAGAATCGTGTTTTCTTGTTTGAAATTGAAGGCTTTGCGAATTTGCTTTTTGAAATTGAAGGCTTTGCGAATTTGCTTTCGCAACCTGCTCATTGAGGAGCGGTGTTTTCTTGCGGTTGACCAACCGACATTGCAGTGGATAGTCCAAACGGGGACTTCTATGTAGACCAGGCTTACTTGGAACTCTTTGAGATCTGCCTGCCTTCCGAGTTCTGAGATTAAAGGCGTGTGTTATCTTGCCTGGCCCATTCTAAATTTTTAAATGAAAGTTAATAAAAGTTAAATGTCTGACCGAGAGGTGGTGGCGCACGCCTTTAATCCCAGCACTCGGGAGACAGAGGCAGAGGCAGGTGGATCTTTGTGAGTTCGAGGCCAGCCTGGTCTACAGAGCGAGATCCAGGAAAGGCGCAAAGCTACACAGAGAAACCCTGTCTCGAAAAACCAAAAAAAAAAAAAAAAAAAAAAAAAAAAAAAGTTAAATGTCTCAGGTATCTTGAAGCCATAAAAGGTTCATAGAGTGTCTTGGCTGCCCAAAGAATTGCTTCTTTTATTTTTTTATTTTTCTAACTTGTAGGGAAAGGTCTAGTATTTAAGATACCTGGATTTTCCAGAACATAAGAATCCCTCAGCCAACATTTATTTTGTTTCTTGCAATTGAGAGCCAAAGACAAGCAGTTCTTGTGTGGTTCAAAGGTAACAATGCCCTAGCGACACGAGCTGTGTTTATCTTGGCCCTGGTGGAGCCTGGGCACCATGTTAGACACTGTGGTCTTGGCAGTAAAACCCTTACTTTCCCAGCCACAGACCTACTAGCTGAGAAAGCCAATTCTAAGCACCGGGCTAGCTCTCCCAAGGTCTCAGAATGTGGTCACTAGACTTTAGTCAAAGGTTTCAGGACCCGTGTTCTGCCTGTCCTACAGTCTTCAGAGAATTGAGCTTTCATTCTGAAATGAGGAAATCTTCAATGCTGTTTATTTTGGTTATTATGTGATAAACATGCAAGTTTGCCATTGCAGAAATAAATGCTAATGAAGTTAAAGGGTAAATCTAGAGAAGAGGTGGAATGGAGATCAAAGCCTGCATGAGCAGCAAGAGCTGATGTCTGCTGCTACCAGTAGGTAAGTGGAATGAACTGGTGCCCAGTCTGAGCATTTGTTCAGGGAAGCTGAAAAGTGTAGTTCAAGACTACCACCTTAGTTAAAGATACATGTAAACTCTCCCTGCAGGATCTAGCAGATGTAAAAATCAGCTTCTCCCACCTGCTCAGACTCACAGACTCTGATCACCAAGGCCTGAGATTAGTCCTGCTGTGGGCAACCTTCATCTGAGCAGTGCCCTCCCTGTCTGTGGAGGGAATGAAGGGTGTTATCAGCTGGTATTGATGTTTGTCCATGACCCACTCACCCCTTTTACATGTTGAATCCTAACTCCCTAACAAGATAGTAGAAAGTAGGGGTTTGAGGAGGTGATAGGTGCCATGTCTGAGACAGGAAGCAGTCCTCTTCATGTATTACACCATGCCTTAATCTTGGACTGCCAGCCTCCAGAACTGTGAGTGATAAATTTGGGTCATTTATAAGTTACCTACTATATGGCTATTTTTGTTGCAGTAGCCTCAGTGATCTAAGCCTATGTTAAATGAGTTCCTGGCAATTAAGGAAATACTCCCAAAGCAGATAGCCCTTCACAGGGAATAGAGTAGCTCAAAAAAACCCCACCTGTCAGAGCTTGGTCCATGTGAGCACCAACTCATGATATTAGTGTTTCATTATGCCCACAGAACAGGAGATTGTGTTTGTTCAGATACTTCATAAGTAAAGAGGAGACAGGACAGTTCCCTGCTAGAGTTCTGATTACTAAATATAATAGGAAATGGGGGAAAAAAAAAAAAACCATTACTTTGTGGCAGACAAAATCCACTGGATAGTTTTGAAAATTAATGAAACTTTGAGGTAAAACAAGTTCTGCATGATTTCAAGATACCTCCCCTAAAATAATTTCTATTACTACTGTTAAACAACAACAACAACAAAATTACCGAAGCCGAACGGTAGTGGTACACACCTTTAATCCCAGCACTCTGGTGGCAAAGGCAGGTGGATCTCTGTGAGTTCGAGGCCAGTCTGGGCTACAGAGTGAGTTCCAGGAAAGGCTCCAAAGCTACACAGAGAAACTCTGTCTCAAAAACAAATAAACAAAAAACAAAAATTAACAGTCAGTCAGATCCAACCAATGGTTGGCATGTCCTGGGAAAGCTTGTTCTGCTGAGCCGGGAGACAGTCTGGGAATAGCGGGAGGGATCCAGAGAGTGAATGAGACAAAGTTTAAGAAGATTGTACCTAACTCCAGTAAAGGCCTAAAGTTTATTAAACATTACATTGCCTTTCAAACTCATTTGTGTATTCATAGTAGAGGTTGTTCACACAGCATGTCCAGCCCTAGACCATGGTTTCACCTCACTTGGTCATGGTTTTACACTATCCCTGCTTGTCCAAATGAGTCATATATGATGGTCCTGGACTCCTCCTCTGAAAAGGTAAGCCTTCAATAAACTATTTCTAAGTTTAAAAAAAAAAAAAAAAATCAAGCCAGGTGGTGGTGGCACACGCCTTTAATCCCAGCACTCAGGAGGCAAAAGTAGGTGGATCTCTGTGACTTTGAGGCCAGCCTGGACAGAGTGAATTCCAGGACAGCCAGGTCTACACAGAGAAACACTTATCTCAAAAAACAACAACAACAACAAAAAAAAAAAGCACTTCAAATTTAGTGCTTTAAAAGTACAACTTTTAGGTCAGATGTATCACACACGTATAATCCCAGCACTTAGGAGACAGAGGACACAAGATTGAGAGTTAAGTGACAATTTGAGTTACATGACAAGACCTTGATCAAGCAAACAGATAACATGAGTTTATTCTCTTACTCCTCTGAAAGCCAGAATTGAAGCCCAACCCAAGATCAGTGAGCTGAAGCCCATGAGCTCCAGGACTGGTGCCTTCAAGATGAAGGGAAGGGGACCCTTCATCTTTAAAGCCAGCTCTCCTGTCTCCCTTACCTACTTTTTTTGTTTTTACTTTCTTTTTTTTTTTTTGAGATAGAGTTTCACCATGTAGCCCTGGCTGTCCTGGAACTTGATCTGTAGACTAGGCTGTCCTTGAACACAGAGATCTGCCTGTTTCTGCCTCCTGAGTGCTGGGATTAAAGGTGTGCGCCACCACTGCCCTGCTCTCTGCTCTCTTACCTACTTTTAAGGACCCTTGTGAGTATATTGGGCCCATCTGGATAAAGCCTAAGACCCCCCACTTAAAGAGAGTACGTAGCCAGCCTGGACTACAGATCGAGTTCCAGGACAGCCAGAACTGTTAAACGGAGGTAGGGTGGGGTGGGGTGGACGTGGATGACACATGGGACAGTGATCTGGTGCCTTGGTTGGTTTTATGTCAACTTAACATAGCTAGAGTCATTTGAGAAGAGGGACTATCAATTGAGAAAATGCCTGTATAAGATTTGCCTGTAGACAGGTCCATAGTGCATTTACTTGATTAATGATTGAGATGGATCCTTCCCATGGGATGGAAGGGGGGCTGGTAGTCCTAGTTGCCTAAGAAAATAGGCTGGCCGTGTGGCAGTGGCGCACGCCTTTAATCCTAGCACTTAGGAGGCAGAGATGGGCAGATCTCTGCGAGTTCGAGGCCAGCCTGGTCTACAGAGCAAGATCCACGACAGGCACCAAAACTACACAGAGAAACTCTGTCTCGAAAAACCAAAAAAAAAAATAAATAAAATAATAATAATAATAATAATAATAAATTAATTAAAATAGAAAGAAAGAAAATAGGCTGAACAAGCCAGTAAGCAGCGTTTCTTCGTGACTCTGCTTCAGTTCTTTTTTTTTTTTTTTTTTTTTTTTTTGGTTTTTCGAGACAGGGTTTCTCTGTGTAGCTTTGCACCTTTCCTGGGACTCGCTTGGTAGCCCAGGCTGGCCTCGAACTCACAGAGATCCGCCTGGCTCTGCCTCCCGAGTGCTGGGATTAAAGGCGTGCGCCACCACCGCCCAGCCTGCTTCAGTTCTTATCTTGAGCTTCTGCTCTGACTCCCCTCAGTGATAGACTGTGATCTGAGAGTTGAAAAGTAAAATAACCCTTTCCTCCTCAAGTTGCTTTTGGCCATAGTGTTTTATCACAGCAGTAGAAACCCTGACACCTAGCAACCTTCTTCCTATCTACTTCAATTCCCCTTTGTACATAACCAAACATACTCATATTCCATGGATGAAAACATGGACCTCTTGTAGGGTGATAATTCTGCCTTCCCAAAACTTATAAACCATAAAAGGAAAGATAGTAATTTTTTTTTTAAGACAGGGTTTCTCTGTGTAAAAACCCTGGTTGTCCTGGAACTTGTTCTGTAGACCAGGCTGGCCTCGAACTCACAGAGACTCACTTGCCTCTGCCTCCTGAGTATTGGGATTAAAGGTGTGTGTCACCATGCCCAGCTCAATAAAATACTTTTTAAAAATTAATTATAGGAATGAGTGAAGTGATCTTAAAACAATGTCTACTCCTTCATGAGTTGTCCCTTGCAGAGCTGCTTCCACTCTTGACTGGCTTCTAAATTCTGAAGAAACACTGCACCTAATGATTAAAATGTTAGCTGCTAAATAATCTTTCTTTAGACTTAACAAAACTCAACACATCTGGTGAGCTTTAGAATGTGTAATGTAATGCTTGACTTGCAGAAAAGTAATGTGTTTGTCTAAAGACACTAGCCTCAGGAAACGTAGTTTAGGTCTACTATGATATTCTAGCCAAAGTAATAAAAAGAAGAAAGGGGGGGGGGGGGGAGACACACTGGATGAAGAAGATCCTGTTCAGAATATAGCCTTTCTGCCCAGTGTCCAATTATACTTCCTTTCCTTCCCTGTAATAGCTCCTCCACTTAAGTTCTCCAGGGTGATCTTTTGAGAGATGATGATAACACCCACTTTATCTTCTCAGGATATCAGCCTTTGGATGATTCCCTTCCTACTAATCTCTCTTCCTGAATATTTTGGCTTTTAAATGGCAAGCAGACAGACTTTGTTCCAGTAACAGTCCATTGAAGGAAACAACCATTTCTGTGGTTCTGTTGCCAAGAATGTCTAAGCCTGATCCATCTTTGAGAAAACATCAGACAAATTCATACTGATGAAATCAGCAATATAACTGATTGATGCTCTTTAAAAATATACAAGGTCATAAAGGACAAAATGTGGTGTGACAGTTGTGTAGCTTGGTCTGTTTGTGCGGCTCCTAGCAGTGGGATCAGGACCTGTCCCTGGATCTTGAGCTGGCTTTTGGAAACTCAATCTCCAAGCTAGGTTGCCTTACCTGACCTTGATGCAGGAGGAAGAGCTTGATCCTGCCTCAACTTGATGTGCCTTGCTGTGTTGATTCCCATGGGAGGCCTGCCCCTTTCTGAATGGAGATGAGGGGTGGTGGGGGGCTGTGGTCAATATGTAAAATACATGGAAAAAAAAAACAGAATGAGAAACTACCACAAATTGGGGGAGGCTTTAGAGACCCAAAACCAAAGACATTAAGAGATTCTTGCAGCCAGGCAGTGGTGGTGCATGCCTTTAATCCCAGCACTCAGGAGGTAGAGGCAGATCTCTGAGTTTGAGGCCAGCCTGGCATACAGAGCTAGTTCCTGGACAGCCAGAGAAACACTGTTTCGAAAAAAAATTAAAAAGAGAGAGAGATTCTTGCAATATTGGTGAAATGCTAGTAAAATTTGCATAAGATCTTTGGTTTAGTTAATAGTGTGCCAGTGATAATTTCTGGTATCAATAGCTGGACTGTGGTTGTTAAGATACTTGCATTAGGGGGAGCTGGGTAAATGATATGTGGAACTACTATCGTATTTTTCCAACTGTTATATGTATTTTGGCTTACAAAAAAAGTTCCAAGTTTTTTTTGGTGCCTCTGTGTGCACATACAAATGCTATGGACTGAACCCACCGCCTCAGTGCATGTTGAACACTTGATACTTGAACACTTGATCTACCACCAGACTACATCAAGGTCACCAAAAACATATTCAGTGAACACCAGAACCAGTTACTCGGATTTTAGGTAAATAAGATGGTAGGAGTCCATGAGAGGATCAACAAGATACGTAGCTGGGGAGAAGTACAGAAGTAGGAAAGGCTGCTGTTATAAAAAGAAAGTGAAGAGTTGGGTGTTATTCAAAGAAAGCCTTGGAGAATATAAGCAATGTGGGATGAAAACAGAAACCCAATTTAAAATCCAAGCTTTACAGTCCTAGTTAGATTGTTGTGCTTCTCCAAGGCCACCACTCATGTGCTGGAGGTACAAACTGGAAAGCATGCACCCCCAGAAGACTATGCTCTGACCCGGAAATGAATCCATATACCCCTCTGGGAAATTTTGGGCTGAAAATACTGCTCTAGACAAGCATAAGATTCAGAGAGACTCAAAGCATGTTCAACTTCATGAGGTTGAGACAACTCATATAGCCATATAGCGATTTAAAAAGTCAAACATTCTAAAAATAAAATCCAAAGATACACAAATCTGATATATACTAAGGAGTAGGAAAATATTAAAAATCCATTTTCCATAATTACCATTTCTTTTCTATAAGAGAGAAAACTTTGTATGTACAGTAAAAACAATGCAATGTATAGCATACAGTAGTCTCAAATCTAACCAAAGTGTTTCAGGCAGGGTTCATTGCTGTTTTGTGTGGCTTGATGGCACACAACTGCAAAGTGTTCATGTTGTATGTTCAGAATGAAGGCTACAAGCAAAATCTCAGGATATAATATGAGAGTGTTGCCAGAAACCATTTGGATTCATTAGGCCTTTTAGTTTGAATTAATTTTGGTCATTCATCACACATTCAGAAACCTTTTGCTGTTGCCAAAGAAGTTGTGACCCCCACATTCTATTATTCTAACATATATGTCTACTACTCACAGTTTAAGAAGCTATATATTAAAGAATGATAAAGTCATGATTTAATTGTCTCTGGAAATGCCTTTTTAGACACCCCAGAGGTGTGTTTTATTGATCTCCTAGGTATCTAATCAAGTTGATGGTAAGATTAACTGTCATGAGCTATCATGATGGCTCAGCTGGCAAAGATGCTTGCCTGTTTGGTCGCCAGGTCCTATATGATGGAAGAAGAAAGCTGACTCCAATAAGCTGTCTTCTCACCTCTACACATGCTATGGCACAAACAAGCTCCCACTACCACATACACATATACGCACTAATGTATATTAAATGTTTTTAAAAAAATTCTAGACATTTTAACAGAACATGGTCTTAATGTAAGTACAATTAGTGAGACAAAGACAGAACTCCATACCAAGGAGGACCTCGCACATAATACGCATACTCTATCACTCAACTACACCAACAGTTGTCTATAAATTTAACATGATAAGGGACCCTGTTGAAGCCAAAAGTTTACAACTTATCTTAAAAGTTTGAATGTTTCCTTGAAGTTTTATTACACCAACAAAATAGATATTTTTGCAACTATTAAGATGATGCCCTGGGGGTGGCAGTGAGGCACTTGGGTCTCTGGGTTGGAGTCAGCCTGGTACTTCAACACAGCCAGTGAACTGCTCCTGAAGAAAGACCCTGTCATGGCTGATCTGTCTTGAGCAATCCAAAATGAGTTAACACACTTTAGGTTGTATATAGAGAAAAAGGCTAATGTCAAAAGATACTGCCTTATCCTACTTTCTTCAATAGATATTGTGAAGCTTAAAACACATTTTAAAGAGTTTTGAAAATAGGAGACTGGAAAGATGGCACAGAGGTTACAAGAGCTTGCTTCTCTTGAAGAGGACCCAGCACCCTCATCAGGTGACTTACAATTACCTACAACTCCAGTTACAGGGGATCCAATGCTCTCTTCTTACCTCTTTGGGCACCTGCACTTACATATGCATACTCTTAGAATACACACACATACATACACATAAATAAAAATACAATCTTTTGTAAAGAGCTGAAGGCTGGGTATCGTGGGGAATGCCTTTAATCCCAGCACACAGGAGGCAGAAGCAAGCAGATCTATGGTAGTTCAAGGCCAGCCTGGTCTACATAGTGAGTTCCAAGCTAGCCAGAGCTACATAGAAACAAACAAATTTACTTTGAAAATAATAAAAGTTTTTAAAAAATAAACTAATACATCAGTTTTTTTCTTTACATTTATCATGTGTATGTGAGAGTGAGTGCGTGTGCACACTCACACCAATGGAGTATGTATGAACAACCATGTGGTTCATGGTCAAACTTGAGTTGTCAGGCTTGGCAGAAAGTACCTTTACTGGTTGAGCCATCGCCCCAGCCCCCATGATCAGGTTCTATTCACTAGCTACAAATTTCAGAGAACTGTGAGCACAGCTCATTACTACAGGGCTGGCAGTCGAGTGTTAAATAAGATGGTAGAATGCTTACTTCGATGAGAGACCCTAGGTTCTACCCCAATATGGAATGGGGGGTCCTTTAATTCAAGGTTTGGTGCTATAATCCCAGCATGTGGGAGGTTAGGCAGGTAGATCATAAGTTTGGAACCAGTTTTGGCTACATAAGAGTTTAAGAGCAGCTTGGATTACACAGTAGGAAAACCCTGTCTCAAAAGAGGAAGGAAAGAGGGCTAGTAAGATGGATCCTTGGTTAAAACACCTGCTGCTAAGCCTGAGGATCTGAGTTTGATCCCCAGGACCTACATGATGGAAAGAGGAAACTAACTCCTGCAAGTTGTCCTCTTACCTCCCCATTCGTGATGTGATGTGTTCTTGTACACACACACAATAAATAAATGTAACAAAAAAATATTAAGGGTGAGAAAACAAAGGACAAGGGAGATGGTTCGGTAGGTAAAAGCACTTGCGTCACAATGCATACCTGATGACAAATCCTTGGAACCCACATAAAAAGACAGAGGTACATAAAGATGGGAGGTGGAGACAGGAGAATCCTCAGAAATTTGTAGGCCGGCTGGCTTGGAGTATGTATTGCAATGGCAAACAACAGAAGAGATTCTGACACACAAAGAAGTTCAAAATAAGTGCCAGAAGTTGTCCTTTGACTTTCGACCCCTATGTGTGTGCATGTGCACCTACTCTCAGAAATACACACACACACAAACACATTTTTTTAAATTAACAAAATTTATCTGTTGAGGTAAAATAGCACACATATAATATGCACTCAGTTTTTTTCTAAGTACTTGAATGTTCTAAGCATATTTAATTTAGGCAGTCTATAGTTTAGTCTTGTCATTTTTTAATGCATTTATCTTTTATTTGTATGTGTATCTGTATGTGCTTGTGTAAATTATGTGCCCTATGTGTGCAGAATCTACAGAGCAGAAGAGAACATCAAATCCCCTGGAACAGGAGTTACAGACAGTTGTCAGCTGCTATGTAGGTGCTGGGAATTGAACCCTGGTCTTCTGGAAGAGCAGCCAGTGCTCTTAACCACTGAGCCATCCCTCCTTCCCCTCAGTCTTATTGTAACTCAACTTGTGACTTTATCCTATATGAAAGTGATATTATGGAGTTAGAATTTTCTATTTTTTGTTTCATTTTCTACAAATGAAATGCTGGGGATTAAACCCAAGGCCTCATGCATGCTAAGCACATACTCCACCACCAAGCTGTATAGCCTCTGTGCTCCAGGCTAGTGAGGTGTGATATGATATACTCTCACATCTTTGGACAGCTTGTTATGTATTATGTGGTTCTGAACACTCATGCACACCCTACTGTGTTGTCAATAGTGTGATGGTTAATCGTACTTGTCACCTTGATTCCATCTGAAATCAATTGAAAGACAAGCCTCTGGGTGCACCTGTTAGGTATTATCTAGATTAGATTAACCTCTGGGTGCTGTGGGATGGTCTGTATGGCAAATGTGTTGCTCTGATTGGTTAGTAAATAAAACACTGATTGGCCAGTAGTCAGGCAGGAGGAAGTATAGGCGGGACAAGGAGGAGAAGAATTCTGGGGAGTGGAAGGCTGAGTGGGAGACACTGCCAGCCACCGCCATGACAAGCAGCATGTGAAGATGCCAGTAAGCCACGAGCCACGTGGCAAGGTATAGATTTATGGAAATGGATTAATTTAAGATATAAGAACTAGATAACAAGAAGCCTGCCACGGCCATACGGTTTGTAAGCAATATAATCTCTGTGTTTACTTGGTTGGGTCTGAGAGGCTGTGGGACTGGCAGGTGGTAGAGATTTGTCCTGACTGTGGACCAGGCAGGAAAACTCAAGCTACATCTGGGCATGGCTGTGAGGGATTTTCTCTTTTAAAAAAATACTTTTATTGCTGGGCAGTGGTGGCACATGCCTTTAATCCCAGGAGGCAGAGGCAGGTGGATTTCTGAGTTGGAGACCAGCCCAGTATACAGAAGGAGTTCCACGACAGCCAGAGCTACATAGAGAAACCCTGTCTCGGAAAGAAATTTTTAAAATTATGTGTAGGTGTGTGTCTTCATGTGGGTTATGTGTATGTGAGTGCAGGTGCCCACAGAAACCAGAGGTGTCAAAGGATCTGGAGTTAAAGACAGTTGCAAACTGCTTGACCTGTGGGTGCTTAGAACTAAGCACTTGTCCTCTGAAAGAGCAGCAGCAAGTGTTCGTAACTACTGAGCCATTGCTCTAGCCCAAGGATTTTTATTACATTAGCTGAAGTGGGAAGACCCACTTTGACTGTAGGTAGCACCTTCTAGCACCAGCCACAAAACAAGGGTTTGTTTGTTTGTTTTTACTTGTTTGCTTTTTTGTCTGGTCAGTGAGCTCATCTTCCCTGTTCATGAGTTCACTTACATTGGTGCTGCTGTTGTCATTGCTGCTGACATCAGAACCCAGCTTCTTCAGCCTTTCATCCTGAACTGAAGACCAATGGCTCTCCAAGAATCTTCTGGGACTTTAACACCATATTGGGACTACTGAGGCTCCTAGCTGAGTAGATGGAGCAGCTAACAGTTCTCTCTTTCTCAAGTGTTAAGGCAGCCATTGTTGAATTACCTAAACCGTATCCTGTATGTCAATCTAATAAATCCCCCTTTCTATATCCATCCTATTGGTTCTGTTTTTCTATACATACTCAATAAATTAAGACATCCAGTACTTTGTTTTTATTTATTTGTGTGTGTGTGGTTGTGTGATGTGTATCAGAATCAACTTTATGGAAACAATTCTTTCACTTGTTCATGTGAGTTCTAGGAACTGAACTGAAGTCATCAGGATTGCATCCATGTGTGGCAAGTACCCTTATCCATTGAGAGATCTTTTTTATTTTGTTTTTCAAGACAGAGTTTCTCTGTATAAAAGTCCTAGCTGGGTTGGGGATTTAGCTCAGTGGTAGAGCGCTTGCCTAGCAAGCACAAGGCCCTGGGTTTGATACTCAGCTCAAAAAAAAAAAAAAAAAAAAAAAAAGAGTCCTGGCTGTCCTGGAACTTGATTTGTAGACCAGGCTGGTCTTGAACTCACAGACATCTGCCTGCCAGAGTGCTGGGATTAAAGACATGTGCCACCACACCTGGCCCATTGAGACATCTTGATGATGCCCATCCAACACTTTATTATAAGGTAGGTTCTGTGTGAGTGACTGTCCAACTCTCAGCTAAGGTGTCTTCAGCATATAAGGATGGCTATTGTATTAGTTACTTTTCTCAATGCTGTGAAGAAATGCCCAACAAAAGCAACAAAAGGAAGGGAGGATTTACTTTGGCTCACAGTTTGAAGGTACAGTCCATCATCATAGTGGAGAAGTCATGTGGCAGGTCACACTGCATCCAGAGTCAGGGAGTAGAGAATGATAGATACTGATGTTCAGTTTTCTTTCTCCTTTTTATTCAGTCCAGGACCCAAACTCATAGAATGGTGCTGCCCATATTTGGGGGTATTGGTACTTACCAATTCAATTAATTCAATCTAGAAACCTCCTTGTCTTCTAGGCATTTCTAGTTCCTGTTGACAACCAGTGTTAACCAGCACAGTTGGGATAAGCTGTGTTATTCATAATTTAGGCACATTAGATGCATTTTCAAGCCAGTAGTGGGCACATGCCTACAATCCCAACACCCAGGAAACAGAGGCAAAGAAGATCAGAAATTCCAGGCCTGCCTGGACTACATAGTGAGACCCTGTCTCAACAAAACATAGCAAACAAAAAGATGGCCTGAGTTTGATTCCTGGGACCCACATGGTGAAAGGAGAGGACTGATTCCCTCTGTAACAGCCCAGACCTTAGCACGACTGACTCCATGATGGAAGTACCATCCAGGCCATACAACTCAGCACATAGACAGCACCATCTGCCAAAATAAAAACAAAGATCTAATCCATCAAAATCCATAGTTACTGGGAAAGTTTCTAAATGTACTAACCTTGCTTTGTAGTTCTGTTCCTGGCTAGCCATTCTTGTTAACTGAATTATGTCAACCTAATTATCGTGACATTTTAATTGTACTGAAATGTGATTTTATTTGTATGTTAATAAATAAAGTTGCTTGGGGGTCAGAGCTAATAGCAAGCCATAGCAGAAACTGGGCGGTGGTGGTGCACGCTTTAATCCCAGCTATTGGGAGGCAGAGCTAGGTGGATCTCTGTGTATTCAAGGATACAGCCAGCATGGAGACACGCGCCTTTAATCTCAATACCAACCATAGAAAACCTGGAGGTCTGTACAGACAGGCAGTGACGAGGAGGTCATGTGGTTGGGTTTACAACCAATGAGAAGGCAGAATAGAAAGTCTATTAAAAAAGACAGACAGGAAGTAGCTCTCTTGCTGAAGAGGACAACAGCAGCAGTGAAGGGTAAGGGTTTTAGCTCTGACCTCTTGGGCTTTCATCTCTGCATTGGCTCTGTGTTTCTTATTTAACAAGACCGTTCATCTACACCTAATATATGGTTTTTGTGCTTGAAAGCTCACCTTGAGAAAAGCTTGGGGCTACACTGGGATCCCAAACACCCAGTGTAGTCACTGGCCAGTTAATAAAGGCTTTCTATTGGCTTCAACCCATGTCTAAGAAGTCTTCTCCAGTGAATACCCTACAACACCTCAAGTTGTCCTTTGACAATTTGTCCTGTTCCCTCCTCCCCCCACTGCCTGCACAGTTCTAGAAGTTGAGAAATACATGGCCCAGGTACCAGCTGCATTCTCTAAGATTGTATTTTTTTGATTTATTTTATTTTGTGTGTGGGAGTGTTTTGCCTACATGAATATATGTGCATCATGTGTGTGCCTGGTGCCCATGGAAGTCAGAAGAGGGAATTGGATCCCTAGAAACTAGAGTTACAGATGGTTGTGAGCCACCAGTGAGTGCTGGAAATCGAATCTGGGTCCTCTGCAATAACAAGTGCTCCTAAAGGCTGTGCCATCTCTCCAGCACTGAGACTGTATTCTTACGTTGTAGAAGAACAGGAGAGGTGCAAGCCCTGTTCATGGCAGCATTAATCAATAGGTAAGAACAGACTCTCCAGGAGTCAAATAAATGCTCTCCAAAAGGCCCCACACTGTTGTCCTGGGATTATGTTTCCAGCACTGAGCTTGAGGTACACATACAGATTTCAGTAGTGACTTCAATCATAGCATTTGAAGTGACTCCAATCATAGCATTTGAAGTCACTTTCTTTTTGAGACAAGATCTCTCTATTATATAGCTCTGGCTGTCCTGGAACTTGCTCTATAGACCAGACTGGCCTCAAACTTACAGAGATCTACCTACCTCTGCCTGCAGAGTACTGGGATTAAAGGTGAACACCACCACAGCCTTCCCAGTTTTGAAGTGACTTTAAAATATGCCCACAAAGCTGAGGACAGTTGCACATACCTTTAAGCACATGCCTTTTAAGCTCATGTCTGCAAGAGCTATAAAGTGAAACTTTGTCTAATCAAGAGTAAAATTAAATAGGACCACAAAATCTTTGGCACTCCCTTGAGTGTGGTCTATTCTTATTGACTCAGTTCTGGCAAACAGAAGTGAATGACTCCTGAAATGAGTTCAGGCATCTTCTTTCCCATCACTTTCTGATGGCTCACTCTGGGGGAACTAGGATCAAGCAGTTCAATGTTGGCCCATGTCCTGCTCGCATGAGTCGAAGTAGTCCTTCTTGGAAGGGACCCTTAACTCCAGGGCAGCCTCAGAATGATCAGAGACTGTTGACATTCTGTCTGTAGCTTAAGTCATAGATGCTCAGCAACTGTATCTGTACTTATGGAAACAAGATAACAATGATGTTTTTAGTTGCTCCTTAGGATAATACGTTATATATAATAGGTGACACATATATCCTGACCAGCTTCCCATAGGAATCCCATTTTTATTTCTGTTCTTTGCTAAGAAAAAATGGAATCAGTCTGAAGGATTCCCATCCCTGTTTGTTGTTGGAGGCTCCACATAGTGACTGTTACAAGTACCATCTTACCCTTGACATTTTACCAAGTTCCTTCAATTCCCTAACATGCAAACCAAGAAGTTCTGGCCCATGATCAGATCTGCTACGCCAGAGCTAGGTATGCTGTTCTGGGATATACAACATTGATACCGAGAACCTATGCAGGCAGATTCATCTTTGTATGATACTCCAGTGTACCCCTTTCCTCCCATCCCCTCCTGAACAATTCTCATGTTTCTGTTTCCTCCAGTGTCTTACATTCTGACTGACCCATCCTTCTTGGGCAGGAGATAGAAGAGTGATGTCACCAGAAATGATGTTACTCTTGTGCTTCTCCCTGAGTTGTGGAAAGTAGGCATCTTTCTAGGGACTAGGCTGGAGGCCTACATATGAACCTGAACAGAGGCATGTGTCCTTTTTAGCACATGATTCCCACTTGGCATCTCCAGTGACTGTTTGGGTCCTAAGGAAACAAGTATATTTACAAAATCAGTCAAGGTATCTTCTCACTCCCTGGAGCCTGGAATGACCAGCTGTGCAGTGGTGACCAGGGACAAGTCCACAGAGCTATAGGGCAAGTCCCTGACAGGCAGTTCCATTTTAGGAATCCCTTAAGCCCTGAGCCTCAAGACAGAATTTTTTTTTAAAGATTTATTTGTTTACTATGTACACAGTATTCTGCCTGCATGTGTCCCTGAAGGCCAGAAGAGGGCATCAGATCTCATTACAGATGGTTGTGAGCCACCATGTGGTTGCTGGGCATTGAACTCAGGACCTCTGGAAGAGCAGTCAGTGCTCTTAACTGCTGAGCCATTCCTCCAGCCCCCTCAAGACAGAATTTGATTCAGACTTTAGACTAGATTCTATCAGCAGCAACTTACCAGTTGGAAAGCCCCAATCCAATAGGATACTTCTTAGAGAGGTTCCTTTTTGGGAGATCAAGGGTGGTCCCTGTAGCAGCCAGGCTAGGCCTCAGGTCTGACTCTATCTTGTTCCTGTGGCATTGTGTTGACATACTCACTCCTCAAAACAATTGTGATTTAAACATATGATTGACAGCTGGTGTCAGTCTGGAGTTGTATCCAATATAAGCATTCCCTTACAGTGACCTCACAGGGTTCCTTTGCTCAACAAATGGCGGACATCATACTGGGTAACATGGCTATTTCTAAACACACAGGATATTTTTTTTAATTACATTTATTTATTTATTTATTTATTTATTTATTTATTTATTTATTTTGTGTATGTATTGTGAGTGTGCATGCCACAGCATGCTTATGGAGGTCAAAGGAAAAGGACAAGGTGTATGAATTGGTTCTCTTCTACAATGTGAGTCCTGAAGATTGGACTCAGGTCATCAAGTTTGGAAGCAAGTGCCTTTACTTGCTGAACCATCTTGTTGGTTCAAGGTCTCTTTCTTTGTTTCTTTGTTTCTTTCTTCCTTCCTTCCTTCCTTCCTTCCTTCCTTCCTTCCTTCTTTCCTTTCTTTCTTTTTAATTTTTATTTTATGTATGAGTGCTCTGCATGTATACTTGCACACCAGAAGAGGGCATCAGATCCTATTATAGATGGTCATGAGCCACCATGTGGTTGCTGGGAATTGAACTCAGGACCTCTGGAAGAGCACAGCTAGTGCTCTTAACCCCTGAGCCATCTCTCCAGCCCCTTTTTGTTTTTTCAAGGCAGGATTTTTCTGTGTAGCCCTGGCTGTCCTGGAACTCTCTCTGTAGACCA